AGTAGAGCGTTGATTATCCGAATGCCGATCAACCGAAACGTCGGTTAACCGAAAGCGTTCCAGTCGGACCGTGTCATGCTGAATCGGACATTTTTGATACTAGATTAACTTCTTAAGTATAATTTTTTTTTGTTTTTATATTTTTCAATATATTTATTTTGTTTGTACAAAATAAAGAAATAATTTTTAACAATACAATAGTCAAGATTATTATTATAAAAATTTTTGTTAGGCTTAACATAGACGAAAATTCAACACGAAGCAACACACACGGGATATATTAATATACTATTATTGGGATATACTAATATACTCTATTAATACTCGTACATAATCGGTTATCTGAAAAATCAATTTTCCGAACAACCCCAGTCCCCAACTGATTCGGATAATCAACGCTCTACTGTATTTCTTATAGCCTAATATATTTTGAACTGATAAAAACAACTAATGTCCTTTCTTGTTGAATTCACCGGATATATTCCAATTAGATAACTCTTGAAAATTCCAGTCCTGCATCTGCAGATGTAGAAACGATACTGGTAATTGAATGATCCAAAACTTATGGTTTAATTATATTTACTTTGGTTGATTACGTACATAAATAGATTCATTTTACAGCCACTCATCAGTAATTTGAATTGAATCAACCATTTCCTTAAAAATGAAAGTACACGAACATAATATGGAAAATATTTCACATCTACCTATACATTAAGCAAATGATAAGACACTTTAACACAACATGAAGTTCACTTTTAAAGACTAACAGCCTCTAATGATAGCATAAAACATCTATAGTTTACATTAAATAGAAATGTTTTTATCTACTTCAGTATAATTCACACTAATTAACTGATAATTAACAACTAATTAACTTTGCAGGAAGATCCAACTCCAGTGATCAGTGATGATGCTTTGTGATTCATTGTTCCAGCTTGGACATTTGGACACCAATTCATATCAAATATTCAAATATCAATCTTTGTGATAATATTGTCCATCCAATAAATTTTGACTTAGTGAAATGAGATCTCAAAACTACTTTGACTTAATGAAATACAGAATGCATTGAGTCTATGAGAGTTAAGTCAAGACAAAAAATTTAGATTAGTGAGAATTTAGAGTTAAGAAGTTTGAATTATTGAGCATCTATATTGAAGAAATAATTAAATAATAATAAAACATTTAATAAATATTAATCAGTCACAAGACAAAAGAAAAAGTTGTAACACTTAAATTAATCAATCATTTGGTAAATGCAGTATTCAGCAAGGCACAATTGTCAAATTTGGATGTCCCATAACCTCTAAAATATTTTACTTTCTAAGATTTTTCTGGCAACACTCAATGTAGCTTATTTATTGTTTCGAAGAATAGCCTGGGGCATGCAACATTGGTGGGGGTCCAAGCGCCCCAAAAGAACCTCAGTTATACCCAGAAGAGACAATATTTTCTTTATCTTCTTTAATACAGCTGGAGTTGGATCCTCCCATAAGACCATGGCATGTGACTGGTTCAGGAAGTCTGTAGCCCTGTGAAGAAAGTCCTCTTCCTTACACAACACAAACCTTTTATCCTTGTCCAATATTAAGAGTCTCATGTTGGCAGCAGATAAGTAACGACTTACAGATCGATCACTCATTCAATTTTTGGCACCGCTGGAAGTGGACTTTCTTCACAGGGTTACAGATTTCCTGAACCAGTCACATGCCATGGTCTTGCAGGAAGATCCAACTCCAAATGTATTAAGGAAAACAAAGAAAATAATCTCTCTTCCGGGCATAACTGCAGTTCTTTTGGGGCGTTTGGACCCCCACCAATTTATTGTTTCATTTTTCTGTTTTTCTTCTAGAGGTTTGCTTCTATTCAAACATTTCATATCAGTAAGTGAGGATAATGTATCTTTATTGTATTATATAACATTATTAAAACTGCCATAATATAATTTTAAAAATAGCTTTTATACCTTTTAAAATTACATGCCAGAAAAAAAACTTTATTTTAATTACAACTTAAAATTTCAATGTACAATTTTTTGAAATTGTATTTATCAATTACAAGTTAAATTTAAGAGGAACATTTATTTTAAACATATATTTGTTACACATTTTTTAAGAATTACACCATAATCTTTTTAGGAATCTATGTAAGTTGCCAAGATTTTTTCTGGATGATGCTAATTGTCTTCTGATAAACATGCCTCATAGTAATTACCATTTCTAATCAAAATTAACCACTATCTGTAATTTTTTAACAATGTGACATAGGATACAAACTTAAATCTTTTGTGAATAATTTCTACTATAAAATTATATATTTCATTCAATAAAAATTCATAGCAAAGTGTTAAATTTCTCAACAATTCTCTAGCAATAATATACAGTAGAGCGTCGTTTATCCGAAGGTCTGTTATTCGAAAGAATTCCAGTCGACAAATTTAAATTTTCGCCAGTGCTGCGGCGCTGTAATCTTTGGCTATGTCTTCGGCTACTCAAATATTTTACGTTTTTGATACTAAATTAACTTCTGAAGTATAATTTTTTATTGTTTTTATATTTTTCAATATATTTATTTTGTTTGTACAAAATAAAAAAATAATTTTTAACGATACAATAGTCTTCGTTAGGCTTAACATCGACGAAAATTCAACGCGAAGCGACACGCAACGGAGAAAAATTTCAACACGGGATAAATTAATATATTTTTTCGTACATAATTGGTTATCCGAAAAATAAGTTATCCGAACGGCCCCAGTCCCCAATTGATTCGGATAAACGACGCTCTACTGTATTTACATTTTTGTGTACAGATACCATATAATATACACTCAATGTACTGGATCAACAATATAAAAAATATCACTCACAAAACCAATAATCCAACACAAAAAACTAAAAAAGAAAGGTAAACAAACATTTTCTATTGCTTCAAGCAACCGATTTTAAGTTAAAGGAAAGGATCGGAAACAAAACAAGAAACGTTACGTTTAAAATACAGGACCATCCGATCGGCGGTCGGAAACACATTTACCTTTCTTTTCCAATTCCTCTTGCCAGACTTTGTGAGCTATATTTTTAGATACCGTATACACAGTATATAATCATAATATATATCGTATGCATTTTTAATAAATTCGAGTGAAAGTTACTTTTTGGGAAAGAGGGACGGAGGAGAAAAGACGCCCCGGATGGAGAGAAGCGGAGAAGACGGATTAAAGATGGGAACGCTGACCCCCATATAGACACGGGATAAAGCTAAGACACGGGATAAAGCTAAGACAAAGAAGTAAAAGTCACTTTTAAGTACACTTTACATTTAGTACAAATGTAAATAAGTAACCTAAAAGTGAATCTGTAGCCATTATGTATATCTGTATGTACTTGTAATGTATTTATATTTGTTCATAATATAATACAAGTGAAGTGAATGATGCATATTAAAATGGCAAATGTCTTTCACATACATTGAATTATTGAATTAAACTGGATGAAATAGTCGATTGAAGCATTAAATAAGATACATATTACATAAAAGAATTAATAAAACCTTTTAAATAGATCAAGGATGATGATAATATTTCACAAAATAAACATACAAGGATCGATCCTTATACAACTCTTATTTAAAGTATTTTCGTTGGTTTAACTTACCTAACATGTTAGAAATTGTATAAACAACGTCTGATTAAAAAAAAACTACAATTTGTTGTCGAAATTAAATAACTTCGTTCGCTTTTATTTTCATAAGTCGTAACTCATTTCGCCGCCATTTTCATTTAGTACGGTCGATCGTCACTAGAGGTCCGAAAAATCGCAGATTATATTCTGTATATAATTCCCGTCATTCAAATTCTTTTAAAATTATTATGAATTGATATAAAAATATTAAAAGATTTGTAATTATTTTATGATAAATAAATATTTTATTAATATTAATAAATTATTTTGAAAGTTTAAAATATTCTTAAATATCTATTGTTATTTCTAATGTGATATATGCCGGATGGCCGAGGCGATTAAGGTGTCGGATCAAAGCCTATTTCTTTTACACTTTCTTTTTTTTACTCTTTCCGCCCTGTGGGCACTGAGAGGGCCTCTTATAGCAGGCCCATAATGGGGCGGCCGGGTGGTGAGGGACGGGGCCCGACATATCCGAACGGACCACCCCGAGCGGTAGGCTGCCACCTTAACCGCTCGGCCATCCGGCCGTCTACTTCTTTTACACTGGTAATATATATAACTTTCCTTTCGTTACGCCATCCATAGACAAGATGGACAAAATATTTTGATGATGCACGAATAATCGGGAGTTCAGTGTACAGTACATATAAACAGAGTTCGGACCAACATTCTTCTAACTAATCGATTTCTACACTACCGCAAACTAGCGCAATCCGACAGATACAAGTACTGACCAAGTGAAACAGTCCATTACATCGTATTGACTTCCACGACATTTGGTAGACACTATACAGGAAAGTATCAGCACAAACAAGCGCATCAAGAAACTAAGTGATTGCCTGAAAGACCAACCATTACAATTGTGTGTAAGGATGTCACCCCACTACTTTCAAGCATATACTAAGTATTACCGCTACTAGGTGACTCCATTTCCCGAGCGTACGCAATTCAGTCGCCTAGTAGCTCAAGCACCACCCGAGCATAATGCAGTGATGCCAATTTAGGGAGAAATCAACAATATGGAGGAAAATTTAGGAATGAAGGAAAAATCTCGCATCATCATATTATCCTTTTGCTCGACCGCGACCAAGCCGCCAGCCCACTAAAGTGAAAATTTATTTCTCTGGATTATCAAAAGAGTAATATAAACCGCACCTGGATCAAAACAGTTTAGGATTCTCACTAAATAGTTTTGCACCAGGTGCGATGCATATCAAAATAATAATAATGTTTTAGTTTTCAGAGGAAACTCATTTTAGTTTTAGGGGGAATTTCCGGTCCGTTCAGAGGGATTTCACGACGGAAGGTTGGCAACACGGAATCGTCGTAAAATTTCAAAATGGGCGATGGCGTGAGGCGGTTTTGATTTAGCTTAAAGAATGATTTTGTTTTTAAAATGCAAATTTTCATTTTTTGCATTACTTTTTTAAAAATTTTACATGTAGCGAATATATTAGAAAATGATAGTTTATATGTACGTACCTATTTATTTGATTGCCCTATTCGTTATTAGTGGAGATAATATCCAAGGTAATTTGGCAATTATTGTATTTTTTTTAATCGATTACGTTAAATTTTTACAATTACAGACAATAAATATTCATTCTTTAATTTTTCACATTCAAGATTCGTGTAGTAATTCGAAAAGAAATTTTTTCTAACGAGATGGTACTGTAAGTGCTAAACCGCCACTACCATCACTTCGACGCCATGTTGGATTCGCGCGATTACTTTGACGTGCGCTACATTCAATGTAGCGCACTATGTAGGTAAAGTTACACTTAACACGTTTGATGGCTCAATTCAAACTCCGAATGGTACGTGTGGGACCTTAGCAGTGCTGTAGAGCGTACTCACAAACAAAAAAAGTCAAAGGTACAGTACCATACCTCTACGAGCGCGCCTTCACGAGATATAGCGGTATCGTCACTGCAACAAACATGGCGACGAAATGATGGTGGAGTATGTTTAAAATTTATAGACCCATCTTTTATTATAAAAAAGTTTTAAATTACTATTATTATTTTTCCTCTTTTTACATTTTTTGAACTGAAATCAGAAAAAAATGCTTGATTTTATTGTATTTTCTTGCAATTTTTTAAAATACATTCAAAATTTTCGGAGAAATACTGTCATGTATGCGGTCCTTGATGCCATTGTAGGTACCAAAGAAAAAACATTTTGGATTTCAGAACAAAAGCAGAGACATCTTTGAACGTCGTTTTGTAAACAATGTTGCTATGCTGAATTACCGGTACTTTGTCACATTCAGGTTTTTTTCTTTTTTAATTGATGAAAATAAAAATTATTAGCGTCTTGGCTATCTTTTGAGCTAATTTAATTTTATTTGGTAACCTTTTCGCTATTTTTTAATAAATTATTGGTGACAGCATGAAGTGCAGAAGTGTGCACAGCCCTCGAGGTTTCATATTCGGCTATAGACTAGGAAATTTAATGGGTAAGCATAAAAGTTCTCTCTCTCAACTTCTGCTGAAGCGAGTGAGGGAAGCGAAGTTAGCCGAGAGAGACTTCACGGTGGATGGCTCAAAAGTGTTCTGCGAGGTATATCAAAATGCATTTGTGTGCATGCAGAAATCACATTTTAAGAATTGTGCGTTCTGCAAGACGTGCAAGCATCACGTTGACATGATTGAACATCCCATATGCTGCTCACAAAAATGGAAACTCTGGATCAAAGGAATATTTTTCTTAGATACAGTAAAAACCTTTATAGGATGCAATATAGAATTGCATAAACTGATGCATCGCTTGTCCAGGAAGTACTTAGAAAAATACACAGAGCAGAATCTTCCTGATGAATAAACACTGAGGAAGAATTATTTTCCATGTGTTCATCAGAAAGTGCTTGAACAAATTCGCAAAGAAACTAGTGACAATGCTACATGGTTTGCTGTAGATGAAACTATAGATGCTTGCGGATGACATGTTGCTTTAATGGTAGTATGAAAACTTGACAGAAAAGATTGCACTAAAATTTATCATCTTTTATATAAATTTCTGGAGAAGACGAATGTACAGACAATAGCAAGATTTGTTCAGAAAGGTTTAATGCTGTTGTATAGTTAAAGTTAAATGTTATGAGCAGGGCTGCGGAGTTGGTAAAAAACATTTGACTCCAACTCCTGATAATTTTAGTAATAAATTAAATACCAAGTCATTTTAGGGGAGCAGAGGTGCTCATAGGGAGTTACCCTACTCTGAACTCTAAAAGGAGCCCCAAGCATTTACTCAAATTGTTTGTTTGTTTATTAAGTTATGGCAATGCAACACTTGGTGATCTCCCGCCTAGGGTGGATGCCTTCCTGGAGGTCTTTTTGAGGGTAACTGGCCCCTATTTATGCATTACAGACATGGAGAAAACCTGGCAAACTTTGTGGCCAGCCCATTCGAGCGAGGCACAGAACCCATGACCGAACTCCCAGTGTTCAGGGAACGAAGACCACTTGGCCACTGGTGGGCCCATTTAACCAAATACTTCTATAGTTAGTATTTTTAATATTTAACTTACATTAATATTTATTTGTATAAAAACATTAATTTTTAACAATACAAATATTTAATAAGAGGAAAAAAGGGAAGCAATAAAAGTCTACATCTACATATCTTTATTCTACAGCTTTTGCACTTCAGTTTCCCTTTTCCAGAAAAGTTTGTCCAACTAAAAAAGTGTGCGATTTAGCTACTTCAGCCCCTTGTTCAGAAAATACAAATATACACTCTGATCAATTAGTCTGGCTCACTCAGAAAAATAGAGTACAGGTAACCCCCATATAACACAAGAGTTACGTTCCAAAAAATTGCCGTGTTATGTGAATCCGTGTTATACGAAACAAAGAACTAGTGCGTAAAGGGAAGTTAGGTTCCAAAAATTAAAAAAAACATGCTGTTAAATCCTTATTTAAATTGGATTTATTATTTATTTTTTTCATAGGTAAAATATTTATTTATTATTTAAGTAAATATTTTACCAGAGGATTATTCATCCAGTATGATGATCTCAGCAAGAGCATCATCAATTGGTAACAGTTTTTGGGTGCATCCGTTAATAGCAGTTGCTCTGCAACGGGAGTGCGCTGCTGTTTGTAGGCATTTAGGAACGACGGTGAAAGAAAGATGGCGGCGCCCGCACTATCGATAATATCATGATGGAGGAATCTATATTTCTAAAATGAGCTTTTAGAGGCAAAAGAAGGGTCCCAATTGTAAAATTTAACCATTAAATGGATTATTTGTTGAAAGAGCATTCAAAGTAGCCACAAAAACAATTAGAATGCTCGCGCAGAGTTACGCAGAGGTATAAAAGAACGCACCCTTTATTACATTTCATGTTGTACAAGTGTTCTATCCAATTCCCGAACCTTGTTAGAGTGAACCCGTGCTATAAAAGCACCATGTTATATGGAGATGTTCCCAATTCTCGAACCGTGTTAGTGAATCCGTGCTATAGAAGTGCCGTGTTATATGGGTGTTACTTGTACTTATTTAGAGCAGAAACAATAAAGGAATGAAACAAAAACATTCAAATTCAATTGGGTCAAAATAATTTAGCTATTAAACACAAATACCACAAAGAAAACTATTGATACATATTTAATAAATTAAATTGTTGAATAAATGAATTATAACAAAATACAAAAACATTTAAAAAATTATTAAATATAAAATCAAATTTTCTTTCATTTAAATAAAAAAAACTAAATTAAATTTAAAATGCCAGAATCAGAGTCTACACATCTTTCCCGACTCCAACTCCTCTGGCCAGAAATTCCTCCTGACTCTGACTCTGCAGCCATGGTTATGAGAACTTTTTACATAATCTTATTCACATAACCTGCCTGAATCATGCTTTACATCTTCTGGTCGAACAAGTTCATTTACATTTTAAAGATGTAAAAGTCTTCATTTGTTCCAGCAAGAAACTACTTGTCAAACTATGGCGTGCCAAAGACACCAATGCAAACTGCTATGCATTGTGAGCATTTGCCAGATACTCCTTTGCCCCCCTCTCCCATAGTCAAGAGATGGGGCACTTGGATAAAAGCTGCAGTAATCTATGTGGACCATTTATGTGACTTTCAAAATTTTATCAATGAACTTGATGAATCAGGAAGTTCTTTCACTGTTGATGTTAAGGAAGCTTTGGAGAATCCACATTTAATCGCTTCTCTAGTTTACATCTGCGCCCATTTGTTAAATTTTCCGGATAACATTGAAGCATTAGAAGCAAGAGGGTTGTTACTTGAAGAACCTCTAAAAATGTTTTAAACAGTAGAGAATTCTATACAAAACCTTCTTGGTTTATGTAGAGTCAAACTTCTCGCGAAGCTGTTGGCACTTTTGGACAAGAACAGTGGTTTTTCTGTGCTTTGCCAAGCTTTTCTGTCTAATTGGAGATCCCTGAGGATGTAGGGCTTGCCAATGTACCTTTGCTGAAATATATCCTGTGACTACATTTGAGGCTGAGAGAAGTTTTTTTAATTGTAAAAAAAACATTATCACTGGCTGTTGACACAATCTGACAGAAGAAAATATTAATAGATTTCTTATATGTGCATGGTCATATTCAAATAGTGTATAATATTGTATACTGCATTAATTAATAAACAGATAACTGAAGAAAATTTGATAATTTTGTTTTACTTTTATTATTATTTTTTTGTTCCAAGAATAAATCAAAAGTGCGATCTTTTCGATCCAATTTTAGATCCGAAACTCTACCGATCCGGAAAATCTGGGGTTTATAAATTACATTACACCATAATTTGTAAGAGAGGATGGTAATGTCGTGCTTTATGTTCATAAGATAAAAAGAAGACCACTTGAATATTACTAAAACAGTATATCAATTATTGGGTCTTTTTAAAATTATCATTTTCTTTTCTAATCTGTATTGTTACTATTCTGTCTGTTTCTTTTGAACAATACTATCTTCAAAAATTGGTGTTCTTTTTTTGCGTTCGTATATACAGTCGCTCACTATTTCTGTTGTGCAAATGACTGGAAGGTAATTATGAACTCGCTATTAGGGACCATCCATAAATTACATTCAAATTTTTCTTGAAATTTTTACTCTCCCTCTCCCAGTTTGTCTAAGTTTCTGTAAACACCTGCCCTTTTTGGATATCCAATGAGACTTGACTCTCCCCTTTAAAACCTTTATTGCTTTATGAATGATATGTTTAGTTTCTACTTACAGTATCTATTTATTTTAAAATTTCTTGTATAATAAAATGAATAAACTGTATAAAATTTAATGAAATAAACTGACGTCCACCGAAGTTCGACTCCTCCCCTTGTCCGAGTTTTGTACGACTTGGCTCAATCCCCTTCCTTTCCACACCCTTTCATATACAGTAGACCCCCCCTTAACGCTTAGATACGTTCCACGCTAACTGAAAATTACGTTGTAGGAACGATTAAATACATGAGCCAATCGCAGCCCGATAGGTGGGAACTTTACGGACTAAGGCTGTTTGAAAGGTTTTCTTCTATAAAATTAACTGATTCTA